GACATTAGAGATCATCTTATCCAACTCATTTTGCAATTAAGGAAACTGATATCCAGAAATATAACTTGCCCAGGGTCACACATGCGCTAAAGGACAGAAGTAAGAACCTCTGACTTCACATCCAATGTCTTCCATTACATCATGTCACCCCCATTGAGCAAAGACATTTAACGATTATCTTATGCTTAGGTTGGGATGACTTTTTATTTTGATTTCCCTCAGGGAATCCAATTTTGTTCATTCTAGTACAAGCAAAACCCCTAATTTTCAAGAGGAATGACTGGAGCTTGAGTGACTCTGACATATCCAGGCATGGCACTCTCTCAGACAGACCTCTGCTGAGGCCAAACTATATTTTTGAGACAGGTACACTCACTCCTCCCCTGATATGTCCAGTATCCCAATCTAAGCTCAAAGATCATTCTGTAATTGATTCAGATAAAGGCCTAATAAAAATAACAAATGGTTTTTAGTTGAATAGAGTAGAAATTAAAACCCCTTGTGCCTATGAAAACTCTTAATTGCAAGCAGCAGACTTGGTTCTGTACTGCTTACAAAGAAAAACAGATAAGTAAAAACAACTTTGTTTTCTCAAAATTATCATTCACTCCCCCCCACATCCAATAATCTTCATTCTCTTACTATTTTGTGGGAAGTATATCTTAGTGGAAAGCGTATCCTATCTGGAATCAAAGGACCTGGCTCAGAAACTCAGTTGCTTTAAAGCTGTATGTGACCTTGGACAAGTTACTTAACCTCTTCTAGCCTCTGTTTTCTCATCTGTAAAATGAAAAGGTTGGATGTGATGACCTCCAAGGTCCTTTCCAACTCTAAGTCTATGATTCTCACTTCTGAGATCTGATCATACACACATAGGGAGTGAAAGGTGGATTTTCAAGTCCTGAGGAACACAGGAGTGATCTAGAGTATGTCCAGCCCTGAGAGCGGAAATTCATTCTCCTTCCCAAAACAGAAATTAACTACGTTGTTATCTCCAGGGTGAAAGATAAACCCCCATTCTGTTGCCCCAGACTTCTAAGAGTAGGATTAAGGTTAGGGTTAGTGTAATTGGAAAATGAGGAGGAAAAAAGTCCAAAAAAATGGTAAGTCACGATTTCTGAAAATGTTTCTGCTCTTGGACATGGTGATACCTTTTCTTTCTCCCAGGCTGGAAATGCCTCCTAATCTCCACCTTGTGCTTCTAATGAATGAAACTCCATCCTGTTATGTGATGCTGTAGAAAGAAGGCTGGATTCAGAATCAGAAGACCTGGGAACAAATCTCAAACTCTTCCTGTTATTAACTGTGTGACTTCGGGTAAGACATTTCACTTTGCTGAGCCTCACTTTTCCTACTTGTAAAATGAGAGTGGTTGGTAGCAAAGGTGTCTTCCAACTATAAAGTTCTAACACTATGATACATAACTTTGCCTCAAAATGGAATTCCACCAACATCAGTCACATCTTTCCGAAACAGAGAGCTAGTTAGTGGAAATGACTTTCCACTTTTGAGAACACCAAAAAGTGACACATAAAGGGAGGGATATTAACATGTTACCCAGAAAATCACAACAAATAAATGACACAGTTTGAGTAACCATGCCCAGAATTAGATTCAAATTTATGGTTTCCTAACCATTCCATTCATTTGGTGGAGCCCTTAAATGGCCAAGTGGGGATGTGAACCTAGGTCCTCTGCTTACTAACCCAGCATTCTTTCTACTGCAGGTGGGAAACCATTGAGTTAGATCACATAAGAAGGCAGAACATACTGAGGATAGGAAGGGGACTGAGCAGAGTTTGAAGATAAGTTTCAGACCACAGACAGGTATGAGATGTCTCTATTTGGTATATATTAAGGGCAGAGGTAGAATGCATATGCAAATGTTTTTATATATGTGTGTATATGTATGTATATGTATATATGCACAGAGACACACATATGCACACATATAACTATGTATGCACATGTGTGCACGTATCTACATACACATACAAATATAGGCATACATATATCAATAATACATGTACATACATATTTATATACCTATATCTGTGTAGATATTCAGATATGTGTACTATATAGATATATTATGCATACACATGCATGTATACACATTTACATGTGCATATGTATATGTGTGTATATGTGTTGTTTTATACATAAATATATACTTTTTCCTGGCTTACAGCTTTGAAAGAAGACACAGGAGGTTTCAGGACAAATGTGCATGCATGTGTGCATGCATGTGTGCATGCATATTTACATATACACCTACATACACACATATGTTGTATGTACATACATATATAAATGTACACATGTGTGTGTATATTATCTATATGTACATATATATCTTGATATATGCACACACATATTTATGTGTGTATGCATACACACATATATATATTTATATGCAGATATCTATATATGAAACATAGATGCCAAGGTCAAGCAAGCACTAGATTGGGAGTAAGAGATCATGGGAATGAAACCTGGCTTCATTACTTGCCATCAACATTAACAGTGGGCAAAGCCCTCCTCCTTCTTGGATCTTAGTTCCCTCATCCATAAAATGTGGGAGATGGACTAGATAATCCCCAAAGCCTTTCCAGCTCTAAAACCTATGATAAGCTGAGTTCTGACTTTAGGAGCTTATAAGTCACAGAACTGACTGAGAGACCCTTGGGGCTGTTCTTTCTGAGTGTGTCTGACACCTCAGAGGCCCCGTGAGCTTCAAACAGCAGCTAGAACCCTTCAAAGCACACCCAGAGGCTTTGGGGTCAAAAGACATCACAGTGGGAGAGTTCTTAGGTAGAGAGAGAGGAGGTACACTTGACATCATTGTTCCTCTTCGAAAACGAAGAATGAACAACAGAGAGAGAGGAACCATGAAGAGACCACTGGGAACTTCCTTCTGGTTCATCTGGCTCCAGATTTGTTGTGAGTTAGGGATGCGCTTCAAGAAGAAATTAAATGGCTTCAGTTAGAAAAACAGTGGGGAGAAAGCTCAGAAAGGCACCCAGGCTTTTAGTGCTCTTAATGGGTCCAGAATATCTTCACAGGCTTAGAAAAGAAGCAGCATGATACAGGGGAAAGGGCACTGGCCATGCAGTCAGAGGGTCTGGGTTCAAACCCTGCATCTGACACTGCTTGTAGGACCTTAGGTGGGTCACTTAAACTCCTTGGGCCACAGGTTTTCTCTTCTTTAAAATGGGAGGAGGAAGGGAAGGGCTAACTGAACCTCAGAGACCCCTTCCAAACCTGGAGCTATGATGATATAGAAAAGCTGCAGTGATTCTCCACTGACCTGTGTCCATTCTCTTTCTCTCACCAGGGGTGAGAGGGCAGGTGAAGGTGGATCAGAGTCCTCAAGTCCTGAGCCTCCAGGAGGGAGAGGACTTCATGCTGAGGTGCAACTACTCATCTACTGTGACCACCTTACAATGGTTCAAACAGAAACCTGGAGAAGGCCTCATCTTCCTATTTTTCTTGACTGGTGAGACACAAAAGAAAGGAAATTTAAAAGCCTCGATCAATACAAAGGAACGGCAGAGCTCCCTGCATATCAAAGCCTCCCAGCCCAGAGACTCGGGCACTTACCTCTGTGCTATTCAGGCACAGTGCTCCCCAGGCATCTGTTGTCTGTACATAAACACAGCACCTGGGGAATGGGCCACATTCCCCAGGGGTGGTGCAATAAAGTGCATAGATCAAGACTCCACAATATTTACACAATCCCATAACTTTCTTGGTTCAGATTGATGGTAATGTATCCCAGTCTGGGACCCTGGGATTGGATGTCTGCCTCTGACTTTCAGCTTATCTCTAGACTCCTTACTCTATTTTAAAACTGAAATGCAGAAACAGGTCTGCTATAGTGGGTACCTGAAAACCAGCGGGACCACCCCACTAAGCTATTAAATCAGGCTCAGAGAGAGGGATCAGCAATGGAGAGAGAATAATGGGAACTTTAATTTCTTTTGTAACCCTGAATTTAGGCCTTGTTCATTTACATAAGATTCTCCTTGTTGGTGGAGAGAATAATTACTCAACTAGTAACTGCATGAGGGACAGAGTTATCAAGAGCTTGAGAGAAAAAAGTCTTTCTCCCAGCTTCCATCTTTGGGAGAAGACATATGAGGTTCCAGGATCTCTGGAGAGAGAGAGAAAAGACTTTGGGAATTAGCAGATATGTCCCTGGCCTACTAAATAAAATTGAAATCACTTATCCTACCCAAGGCTCTCTATATTACTATCCCAGCCTTATCTTCTACTGTTTCCCTACAGAAATTGTTGGCTCCAACCAAATTGATCTTTTAGCTATTTCCTAAATACAACTCTCATTTTTTTTATTTCCCCAGCTTTGCTCTTGATGTTCCCTCCAATTTCAATGTCCTCCTCCCTCCATCCTCCCTCATTTCCATATCATTACAATAGTAATCCTTCAAGATTAATTCAAATGTCAACTTCTCAGTGAAGCCTTTGATAGTCACCACCCAATTTAATCTCTCCCCCTTCTGAATTCCAATAATATAGGGTCCAATAAAATAACATATGTACAGAGTTTTACAAACCTTAAAGCTCTATATGCATGCTAATTATCATGGAGTGAATTCCAAACTCCTTGGAACATTGAATAATCAGTCTCCACCAATGAGGAGAGTTTTATTCAAATGAGCTTTGAGCCCATGGTTACAGCAGTATGCTGTTTCTATCCAGGCAAGAAGTTTGGGAAATAGGTTTCTGCATTTGGCAGCCAACAAGCTAAATTGTCAGTCTTGCCTCTGAGTCCAAGAAAAAGAGAAAAGCACGAGGGGAATATATCACTTTAGAGATTGGAGATCTGGCCTCAAGATGGCAATGTTTCCATTTCCCTTCACAGCCCACATGTGGAGGTGGGGGGAGTGGGTAATGAAGGCTGTTTATGATTGGCTGAAAGGTATTAAGTATTTCCTATGTTTTCTAGAGCAAAAGCAGCATAACTGAAACCTCAGAGTCCTCAATCAAGACATTGGGCATAAAACCAAATCCTATTATTGTAATTATCTTATTACCCCCAAACTAAATTGTACTGATCCCAGGCAGAAAGAAGAATGGTGAAGCTCCTAAGATTCTCATTAGTGCTTCTGTGGTTTCAACTTGCCTGTGAGTTGAGTAGATGCTAGAAATTGGAATAAAGTCTGGAGGGACATTCCCTTCAAAACTGAAGGGCAGAAGCAACGCCCAATCCGTTTTATCTGGGAGGACACTTGCAGAAGATTAGAAAGAAAATATAGCTTAAGAAAATTGATACCTGATGACCAGTCTCTTCCTGTCTTTCTGAACAGGGGTGAGTGGCCAGAAGAAGGTGGAGCAGATTCCGCAGTCCCTGAGTTTGCAAGAAGGAGAGAATGTCACCATAAAGTGCAATTACTCATTTACCGAAAACAGTCTACAGTGGTTCAGACAGGATCCTCAGGAAGGTATTGTCTCCTTATTTGTACTGACTATAGGGGTGAAGAAGAAAGGAAGATTTGGAGCCTCAATCACCTCCAAAGAACGGCACAGCTTCTTACACATCACCAACTCCAAGCCTGAAGACTCAGGCACCTACCTGTGCGCTGTGGAGGCACAGTGGGCCCCAGGCACCTGCAAACTGTGCATAAAACCTCCAGTTAGGGTCTTAGCCATACGCCCTATTACAGGGTGACACAATATCAGGATGTTTACAATGTCTTATCTTTCAGAGTGTATCATGAAAGCATTGGCAGTCTAACGTCATTTTTAGAATCTCCTTTGGAAATTAGACTATGGTTTCCAGTCCTACCCCACAATTTCAGTTACTTTCCAAGCTGTAGGGAGTAAGGGAAGAGTAAAGATTTCTGAAAGACAGGGAAAGCGAAAGTCCCATGACTGGCTCACTCAGTTCAGGCCATGTGAGAGGCTGGAAACTTGTTGAGTAAAGGGAGAGTAAGAGACTTAAAAAGTTTTGGATACTCATGGCTCAAACGGTACACTGGCTTTCAGGTCAGGCAGACCAGATTCAGTCCTGGGACCCCAAAGAACAGAATTAGGCTCCCTTTTTTATTCTTCATACTCTCTAGTTCATCATTTCCCAATACTAGGGAAAATATCTTGCGTAAACTTAGGTAGGTTCATGTCTAGGATTTCCCCTAGGAGAAATTAACAAATGTTCCTTCTAGAAAAATTACTCATGGTAAAAAATAGTAGGTATCAAGGATAGGATAGCTATTTATTTCCTCCACCACAAAAAGAAACACAAAAGGATTCATAAGCATATGTAATCAAATACATAAAAAATGAAACAGTAACTCATAACTTCAGTTATACTCTCCCAGAAGGCAAAGACTTACTAGAGACTTTTCAACTGCTCAACAAATTCCATTTCACCTTGATCTTCAGCGGCCAGGCAGCAATTAACTCAAGGATCATATCTTCTGACCAGCCAGGATCAACCTTCGGGTCATAGTTATCTTCTGTTTTCAGAAAGATACAGCTATAAAAAAGCATTTCTCACTGGGCAACTAGCACCTGGACCTCACAATAACTCTGGATCTCAAACTCATGAGGTATAGCTAAGATCATCCGTCTCAGCTTGCTGTTGTTCAAGGAAAGAGATATAAAGCAGAAGAGGCAATTATAGTCTTGAGATCTAGTCACAGGAAAGTTCATGGACTTGCTTCATGGATGTGTAACTGCCATAGCCATACCTGGGGAGTGGGAGGAAAACACCATTCCCCTTGCTAGAAGTATGAAGGAGAAAGAAGAGCTTTCAGAGCCCCAAACCACACACGTAAAAGACAAGTAGAGAGAGAAGGGGGAAGATTTTGTCCATTTAGAGACTGCTGAGTGGATGACTCTTCCTGGTTCATTTGTCAATCTTATTTGGATTCTCTCCTCTTCCTCTTCTCCATCACCAGAACCCACCAGGAATGCTGGTCACACATGTCCTTTAACAAAAGACCAAAGCACACGTGTCCCCAAAAGTGACCTGCATGCATGCCCAAACTTATCTCCTCTTGGTAAATCTGTTTCAATAAATTAAGCTGTTTTCCCACAGATTAGCTGCCATTTTTTCTTTCATTCCATCTTAGATCCAGATATTATTGGCTTAGAAAGAGGTCCAAACTTAAATTTTTTTAAATCAACAATATCATTTGATAAAACAAGTTATGATAGATGGGTGGGGGAAATGCCAATATTATTTATTAATATTATTTTAACTTAAAAACAATTCTCCCTGTATTCTAAAATTATTTTTTAAAAATCTGCCTGTCAGACTACATATTCATTCTAAACAGAGAGTATGACTCTTTACTCCCTTCCCAGGAAGAGAAAAATGCAAATCTCTATTGCCATTAGGAGGAAACAGATGTGGGGGTTTTATGCTTCCCAGGTGGTTCTGGGGAGGAAAAGAAAAGTTTTTACCTGCAGGCCAACCTTTTGATGACAAACCTTTTGGAAATTAACCAAACTGGTCCTTGGACTAAAGATGCTCAGTCTCTATCTAGGCCCCAAACAAAAGCTTTTCCATCTTACTAGGACCTGCCAACACTTGGGCTTCACTGACCCAACTTTTAATAACCCAGGATAACCTGCATTCTATGATGAGCCATTAGAGTAAAATGTTAGTGTAATGTAGCTATACATATTTAAGTAAAAGTGAGAATTAGTGCTAATCTCTTGTGTCTTGTAGCACAGGCTGCGATTCTCTACCACCATCTGGTAAGTTTCAGAGAACTTTCTAAAAAGGGAAATTTAAACTCTCTGAAGTGGTAGAATTGCAAATCAACCACCACAGTGATGACAATTTTGTGACATTCTCAGCAATGCATTGCTAATATCAACACTCTGTTAAATATTCAGTTAATATTTGCAAAGTCCAACAAATTTTTGCTCATCAAAGTCATGGAATGTCAGATTTGGAGGTCATCTAGCTCCTTTCTCTACTTAAAAACTTTCTTTTGAGATTTTCTAGTCCATCCCTTTACCTCATACATAATTCTATAATATCCCTGACAAATGATTATCCAACTTCTACTTGAGTGCCTTCAGGAATAGGGATCTCACTACATAACCAAGTAGCCAGGAAAAATTCATTGTCAGGAGATGAGGGGTCTTATTCAAGGTACACTAAGGAGGTCAGTGTCACTGGATGTGGATATGAGTAATGTGTAAAAATACTGAAACTTTTATTCTTGCCTGTTTTCCTTGCTTAGGCCAACCTCTCTACATGTATCTTTAGTCCCACCACCTCTTCTCTCTAGCAGATTGCATTGGCTTTCATCCCTTCTCTCTTTCTAATATCCAACATCTTTCTAGCTACTGGTTCCCACCTTATTCCCTACAAGCACATCCAACTCTCCTCCATCTTAAAAAAAAACCTTTACTAGTTCCTACTATTCCCCATTAGTTACCGTGCTATATTCTACCCCCTCTCAGCCAAAACCACAGAAAAGCCAAGTATAATGACAAAAACATCAGTTAGTTCTTCCCATCACTCATTTACAAATTCATCATCATCATTGATTCCTTACTCATCTCACCGGTCCAACTAGTTGCCAAAATTGGGCATTTCTGGATCCCCCATAATTTCTCTTCCATATGTACTCTTCTTTGTATTCATACTTACCACACTAGTTTGGGACCTCAAAATCTCTCACCTGTATCATTGCAAAAGATATCCTGGTCACAAGGATATCCCTATTCTGATGCATTCTCCATACAGTTAACAAAGTGATTTTCCTAAACACAGTTCTGATCATGTCACCAACCCTCCCCCCAAAAAATTTGATTTACTTTTTATTACCTCTAAGATCAAATATGAACTCCTCTGTTTGATTCTTAAAATTCTTCACAGATTGGCCCCTTTCTACCTTTCTAGTCTCCTTGATGCATTATATATTCTACAATCCAGCCATATTGGCTTGCTGGCCATTCTTGACATATAATACTCCATCTCTCACTTTTATGCCCTTTTATTGATTAACCTTCTCCCCACCCTCACCTATGTCTCTTAGAGGACCTGGATTTTTTTAAGACTCAATTCAATCGCCACCTTCTGCAGGAGGCTTTTCTTATTCCATTCCCCAGTATCCTATCTGCTGGTGCCTTCCTATCCAAGGATACTTTTTGTCTGCTTTGCATTTATCTTGTATATACTTAGGTAGTGTAACCGTGGAATGGTCTTGATTCCCTTCTCTCTTGGCTCTCATGTGAACCTTCACTCATGCTGGCAGGTCAGAGGATCCCAGATGAGATCACCCACATTGCTACAACTTATTCTCAAGTTTCTAGGGTAACTTTGGTGTGGGGAAGGTATACGTCTATTACTCAGAATGTAAGTCCTGAGTCCCCACTGATATTCTTATTTAACAATCAGCCAAGAAGGTAGTTTCTGATTCCATCTATAAAACCAGTGTGATCAATGGAGCAGCCTCTCTATTCATCTTTCCAAATAGAGTACCGGACCCTTCCCCAGCCCTGGTTCACGCTGGGACACACTATTATATACTATTGTACTTTGCAGGGCATGCAGTGTGCCAGAAAAGAACTGTATGTAGTATCTCCTTGACTTTGGTTGAGACAGAAGCCTAAAGAGACATAGAACAAGAAGACTATAGGTTACACTGGATCAATCAGTCAAAACCCATTTATTAAGTGCCTATTACGTGGTGGGCACAGCGTTAGGCATTGTACATAAGAGACAAAAAATTAAACAGTCCTTGCCCTCAATGAGCTTACTTTATATGGGGGGAGGGCAACATGTTTATGTAAAAATTAAATACAAAATATATACAAATTAAATACTAAATAACTTGGGAGAGAAACACTGGAAATTGGAAGATCAGTGAAGTCTCCTTGTAGTACTTGAACTATATGGTGGGATTGTGCTATTACCCTGTGCTCTCAGTGTTGAAGATAAGCTGTCTCCATAAAGAGGTGAGAACAGCTCCCTAAATATTAAAAAGGTCCCCAATTCCTGGAAGCATGTCTACCTGAGGAAAGGAAGGAGAAAGGGAGTGACTTGTATTACATCACCCAGTATTCGCCCATTTTTCTTTTATCTCCCTTTACAACCGTCTAAACTTGCTTATCTTTTATGTCATGACATTACCACATTGGTAATGCAATAGTAGTCCCTGAAGCCCCAAAGCTCATCATTTTTATTTATAAATTAATTTGTCCCAAGTAATAATAAGCCTGAATACTTTTGAAGTATAACTGTCAACTATAACTTGACAGTTTTTATTAGGTATGTCTGTGACACATAGACTATTATTACAAAATTTCACAGAATTAAGGAGTTGAAAGGGACCTCAGAGACCATCTTGTCTATTACCCTTAAGCAATTATCTCTTCTCCAACAACCGTAACTAGTGGTCATTCAACCTTTATGTGAAGACCTTCAGTGAGGGGAAATCTATTACATTCCTATTCAGCCTCTTCTCAAAGTAGAAATTGTTCCTTATACCAAATGTGAGTCTGCCTCTCTGCAGCTTCTACCCACTGATCCTAGCTTACCAAAGGGGTGTCAGTTAACACAAACCAAATATAAAAGCCTGATTTTGGAACCAGATCAAATTTAAGTATAATTATAACAAAATAAGGCATAAGGTATGAGCCTGGTCAGGCTGATGCATTAACACAAAGTCTGTAAATTCTTCACTTTATTTGTTACTATGTTGTTACAAATATTTCAGTTGTGTTAAACATCCTTATGATCTCATGTCACTTTCTAATAGTGAAGCCCTAGCAATGTTGTGATCTTACTCATTTTGGCACCCAAAATACTGTCCCTTTGAGCTTGAGGTTCCCACTAATCACTCCATGCTTCCTTTTCCTAACAGAGAAAATCATGTTCTGCTTTTGAGATGCTCCAATTCATGCACTTTCCTTCCTCTTTGAAAGCATTGTTATGAGTATTAATCTGTATTCTCTTGGGGATTTTTGTCTTCATTATATTCAAATCAATATGTTTTGTTTGAGATGCTGATTTTTATATAGTCATCCAAAATTAATTTTTGAATGATGGACATTTTTA